GAATAATATAATTGTACAAGACTAGACAAGAACGACTCGCTCGACACGAAAATTTTAGTTTATTATTTGTTTATTTACAAACATTCAAATACCTCTGACTGCAAGCAATCGAGGAAAGACTAGACAAGAACAAACCCGCGCGACTCGAAATGTTTAGTGTATTATACAAACGTTGAGACCGCTACACAACGGCCTTTGTTTCGAGATTTGAGCATGAAGGCAAGGCAAAACCGCTGATCGGTTATAAAACGTATTTTATTTTCATTTTATCACTGAAAAACAACTACTGTCAAATGTTTAGCCCATAAATATGAAGTGTGTGAAGAAAACATTAAACAATATTTTAATTTGGACCTTCAAAAAGCAGTTAAAAGGAAATGGCTAAGAAATTTAAGGGGGGGGGGGTTAAAGCCTGTTTATCCCCCTCTAAATCCGCCCCTGAGTCCTAAATTTCAAAATCTATTTTATTTCAGCACATCTTCTTTCATTAAGTGATCTGAAGTTGTTATCTATAATGATACATCTCATATTAATGGTGTGTCTAGCTCCGTTGAAGTTTAGCTAAAGGAAGATTATAATTGTTTCTTATAGAGCTTTTGTGGTTATTAATCCTTTGTCTAAATGTGCAGCCACTCTCCCCGACATAACACACCCCTTTACATACGATGCACCATATGAGATATATGATATTATGGGCATTGCAAGTGAGCGAAGGGGGTCTGATGGTGATTTTATTGTCGGGTACATGGATGCGACTGTCTGTTATGAGGATATGGCAAGTGTGTGAAGAAAACATTAAACAATATTTTAATTTGGACCTTCAAAAAGCAGTTAAAAGGAAATGGCTAAGAAATTTAAGGGGGGGGGGGGGGTAGCCTGTTTAGCCCCCTCTATATCCGCCCCTGAGTCCTAAATTTCAAAATCTATTTTATTTCAGCACATCTTCTTTCATTAAGTGATCTGAAGTTGTTATCTATAATGATACATCTCATATTAATGGTGTGTCTAGCTCCGTTGAAGTTTAGCTAAAGGAAGATTATAATTGTTTCTTATAGAGCTTTTGTGGTTATTAATCCTTTGTCTAAATGTGCAGCCACTCTCCCCGACATAACACACCCCTTTACATACGATGCACCATATGAGATATATGATATTATGGGCATTGCAAGTGAGCGAAGGGGGTCTGATGGTGATTTTATTGTCGGGTACATGGATGCGACTGTCTGTTATGAGGATATGGCAAGTGTGTGAAGAAAACATTAAACAATATTTTAATTTGGACCTTCAAAAAGCAGTTAAAAGGAAATGGCTAAGAAATTTAAGGGGGGGGGGGGGGTAAAGCCTGTTTAGCCCCCTCTATATCCGCCCCTGAGTCCTAAATTTCAAAATCTATTTTATTTCAGCACATCTTCTTTCATTAAGTGATCTGAAGTTGTTATCTATAATGATACATCTCATATTAATGGTGTGTCTAGCTCCGTTGAAGTTTAGCTAAAGGAAGATTATAATTGTTTCTTATAGAGCTTTTGTGGTTATTAATCCTTTGTCTAATGTGCAGCCAGTCTCCCCGACATAACACACTCCTTTACATACGGTACACCATATGAGATATATGATATTATGGGCATTGCAAGTGAGCGAAGGGGGTCTGATGGTGATTTTATTGTCGGGTACATGGATGCTACTGTCTGTTATGAGGATATGGCAAATATTACATCTGGGATTACCGCAAGGGTTGTTACCTGGTTGTGGCCGGGAAGAGAGAATATTGGAGGATGTGAGCAAAGATTTTAGGTTGGGGGTTGTCTTCTAGCCAATACGGGGGGTTTTTGAAAGCTTCAATGTCAGCTATATTATTTTTGATAATCTTGAAGTCGTCTTTGAGTTGTTCGGATAGGTGGCTGAGTTTTGAGTGCTGTGGGTGAAAACCATAGGGAGCCGCTGAGATGGGGTTTTGGGTTTGTATTGTAGAAGTTGATCTCGAATTTTGTTGGATCATGGACCTATTAATAAGGTCTTAATCTTATTAATATGTCCATGGTTGGATGTTTTGGCCAAGTATTCCTTTATTATTTTGATGGTGTATTTACTTTGTGTAAATTTGTTGACGAGCGTTCCAATGTGTTTGTCATGTTCTTCTACTGAGGAGCATATTCGTTTGACTCTGAGAGCTTGGCTGTAGATTAGCGAGTGTTTGATGCTGTCAGGGTGTGCACTATGATAGTGTAGGTAGGTGTGATGATCCGTAGGTTTAGTATACACGGATGTAGCGATGTTATTACATTTTATGCTCACTAACACATCGAGAAAAGCGATCTGATGGGGTGAGTGCTCGCGGTAGTGAACTTGATGTTGTTGTCTGCGTTGTTAATATGCGTTAGGAACGTTATGAGTGAGTTTTCACCATGAGGCCAGATAAAAAAGATATCATCTATGTATCTAGTGTACATGAGAGGAGTGAGGTGGTAATTGTGGATGAATTTGTTTTCAAATTCT